ATTGCTCACCAAGATGATAACTTTCGAGATTGCAAAGACTATTCCATGTACTGCTTTGTCATTGTACTCGAAAAATCAATTTAACTTTTGTAATATTTGAATAAAGGGTAAGCAAGAAAAGCTTTGCTTAGCCCTGCCCTCTCGTTCACTCTCTCTGTCTACACGTATACATATTTTAGAGAACATACCCTCAACAGGGGTTTTAACTTTGTGGCATGTGCCGCAAACACAGTGCACTGATATCTGAGAGTTTTTCAGTGACGTGGGCAAGAGATACCCATTTCGTTGTCGGACTTCCCGACCTCAATGTTGACAAACAAGAACCTTGGATCCAATAGCTATAAAGTTATCAAAAAATTGAAGCATTAGTCCCAAACTTATTGGTGTAATAGTAAGTTAGGCCGAGCATTTAAGAGCAAAATCTCCCACCCAGCATTATAGTTAGAATAATACTATCTCGCACATGCTAGTATCTGATATGTAATAATAAATGAGTTATAATTTTTTAAATTTAATTGAACTTTAATTTAATGACACAAGTAATGTTACGTCGATTAATTTTAAACACCAGTAGTACTAAATATCTTTATTCTTATAGTTATGCTATTAGTTTTCAGGCCAGTCTTGAAAAATTTGAGACGCTAGACGATAAATTATCATAAGGCCCCTACACATAATTTTTTTACAATCATATTAACATCAAACATGGCCGAATCAAACGGTTTCTCATGATAAGAAACATTACGGTACTTACTCACCGTTTGATTTGTTCGAAAATCAATTTTCGTGTTCAAGAAATACAAAGGTTTTTTGAAAATCATATGAGATATGAGGTGGTGCCTACTATTTATAATCAAGATATTTAAAAATAAAAATTCAAAAACAGTAATAAATCAAAAGACATTATTCATAGGGAGACCGTACTTTATTTGCACTACCATAAAATATCTAATGTAAGAAAATTGAGGAAAATCCATAATAATTATTTTTGGACGTCCAAATTTTTTTGAAGCCCCCTTATACCCCTGAGGCCCACCCGATTAAAACCTGCCCTGGATTCAATTAAAAAAATTAGACAGTGGTGCTAAATAATAGGGAAAAATTCACTTTCCCTACTTTATCTTTACCCTATTTCAAAAATAACAAAATAACTTTTACATTTCAAAAATCAGATTTTTTGACCTATATATACACATATTTATAAATATTTATTTATTTATTTAAC